TAAAGACCCTAATAATTTAATTTTGGATATTGTCAGAAGGAGTATAGCTGCTACTTAATAACTAATCAGATGGCAACAAATTATAATTGGCTACAGTTATAGTGGGTAAGATGTTTTAATTTTTTATTTTTGCATGCCAGTTTCCATAAAGTCGTTGCATTAAAAACACTATATCCAATCACAATTATTTTTGTATCTAATGAAATTGTGTACTTCCAACCATTGGACTTCAAAATTGACGGAAATCTAGCTTAACAAAAAGAAATATAGGAGTTCCGATATTATAGAGCAGTGGCAGGAACGAATTGGATTTCAAAGGCATAAGGCCAATACAGGTGGATACAAATGAGAGAGGTTTAGATTCAGGAGTATATTGATAATGATAATTTTGAGCCCTAGAAACTATCTCTTACTTTACTCTACATCTTTTTTGTTATATTGTTTTTATTATATTATTTATTATAAAAAGTGTAGTGTACTGCCTCTGTTTTTATTACGTTACCATGTGATTTTTAGTTTTAGACAGATGTAAATAAATATAACTTGTCAACAAAAAATATATTTGTCACAGAAAAAGCAAAACCTTTTATTCACATTCATACTCCGATATAACATACCAGGTTAACTACATGACTCCGACAAATTGGTGACCCCGAACGTATTCCCATTTTTACAAAATTCTGTAAGAATTTAAAGAATTTTGTTAGCCGATCAATACGAGTTCCTGTAAATGACCCCATCTTCTATCCATGGTTCAACACATACTGTCCTGACTTCAAGATATATCCTGTACCAATTCTAACAAGATAAATAATTTAAGTATTTTAGTAGCAGTAGATAAGTACCTAATATCCCCAGGTCCTTCTCATTGTTTTAGTACTATTAATGAAAGTACATGTGATTTCTGTAGACACGGGAATCGCTCTAGGAGCAAATCTCCAAACCGATCTCAACAGTCAGTAAATAACTTGAAAATTTGTTATTATCACAAAAAATTTCAAAAGAATGCTATCAGATGCGGAGGACCTTGGTGCATTTTATCCAAAGCTTCGGCGGTAGTGAGTGGATCTACAAAAAATGTAAACCGTCGCTTATTTATTTTTGACGCAAATAATAAATTTAATTTTTTAATCGATACAGGGGCTGACATTTCAGTCATTCCTCGTGATGTTTTTAAAAGTGTTAAAAAATCAGATGATCTATTTCTTACAGCAGTGAATGGTTCCACCATTAATACATTTGGAAAACAATTCCTTAAGGTTAATTTAGGCCTCAGACGAGTTTTTCCTTTCGTTTTTACGGTGGCCGATATTTCGCACCCTATCATTGGTGCAGATTTTCTTTCTTATTTTGGGTTATTAGTTGACTTAAAAAATAAATGTTTAATTGACAATGAAACGAAACTTTCGGTAAGCGGGTTTATCTCCGAAAATAATATCCCTTTATCCCCAAAAATTTTAACCATAGAAAATGAATTCGCTAAACTTATTCAGGATTTCCCTAATTTAACTACTCCTCCGAACTATTCCTTACCTATCACACATACTGTAAAACATCAAATTATAACAAATGGTCACTTACCATCGTCGCACGCTCGACGTCTTAATACTTCAAAATATAATATTGCAAAAGCAGAATTTGAACAAATGGTAGCTTTAGGCATTTGTAGGCCATCCTCATTTTCTGTTTCATCACCATTACATATGGTTCCCAAAAAAGATCCAGGTGACTGGCGTCCTTGCGGAGATTACAGACAACTAAATAATGTCACTATACCGGATAGGTATCCACTTCCTCACTTACAGGATTTCAACATAAATGTACACGGTTGTACCATATTTTCAAAGATTGATTTGGTTAGGGCTTATCACCAAATCCCTATGGCAGAGGAAGATATTCATAAAACCGCTATTGTAACACCTTTTGGATTATTCGAGTTCCTTCGTATGCCGTTTGGGTTAAGAAATGCGGCCCAAACTTTCCAAAGATTTATTAATCAAGTTTTACAAAACCTAGATTTTTGCTATGTCTACATAGACGATATTTTAATAGCCAGTAAAAATAATGAAGAACATCTTCAACACTTAACAATATTATTCGAAAGGCTAAATTCTTTTGGAATTAACCTCAACCTTAGTAAGAGCGTTTTTGGAGTTCCTCAATTAAACTTTCTAGGTTATTTAGTATCTGCGGAAGGTATTCTGCCATCAGAGGAGCGTGTAGAAATTATTAAAAAGTTTCCCCGCCCCCAGACTCTCAAACATCTCCAGCGTTTCGTTGGAATGATAAATTTTTATCATCGTTTTATTCCAAATTTCGCTAATGTTTTGATACCGCTCTACGATCTGATGACTTCTTTACAAAATCAGAGGGATAAGACGATTTCACAGTGGTCAGAAAGACATGAAGATAGTTTTATCGCCGCTAAAAACGGTTTAGCCCAAGCATCGCTATTAGTACACCCTCGCCCAAACTGCAAATTGTCCTTAACAGTAGATGCATCAGGTTATGCCATAGGTGGTGTCATAAAACAACTTTCTGATAATTCGTGGGAACCTCTCGCATATTTTTCAAAAAAGTTATCAAAAACCCAAATGAAATATTCCACTTTCGACCGAGAACTTTTTGCAATTTATTCTGCCATTTTACATTTTCGTCATTTGTTAGAAGGCTATCAGTTTACGGTTTTTACGGATCATAAACCTCTTACCAACGTTTTGACCTCGAAAACCGAAAAAAGTCCACGTCAGTTTCGATACTTAGAACTCATTGCTCAATTTACTTCAGACATTCAGCATATCGAGGGCAAATCAAATGTGGTTAGTGACACATTATCTCGGTTAGAAGAAATTACTTCCCCAGAAATATTGCCACAACTAACCCCCTCGAATTTTATCCAGCTAGATATAAAGTCTTTTAAACAATACCAAAATGATGACATTGAGTTGCAACAATTATTGCGTAGTCAGAAAGATAACAGCTATCACAAATTACAAGAAATAGATATACCACTTTTGGAAACAAAACTTTGGTGCGAAGTTTCGTCAAGTAAATATCGTCCATATGTTCCTAAAAATATTAGATTTACTATCTTCTCGAATATTCACGGTATTTCTCATCCTGGAATTAAATCTTCAAAAAAGTTAATAGGATCTAGATATTATTGGCCTCGGATGAATTCTGACATAACAAAATGGACAAAATCTTGCGTTAATTGTCAGCTAACTAAAGTTAATAGATATACTAAAGCCCCTATTGGCAAATTTGATATTAAAGGTCGTTTTGAACACATTCATGTCGACTTAGTCGGGCCTCTGACTAAATCAGGAGGATGCAATTATATCATGACAGTAGTCGAACGGTTCACGAGGTGGCCTGAAGCATACCCTCTTAGTAATATTAGTGCAGAAAATGTTGCTAAAATTTTATTCCAACAATATTTCTCCCGATTTGGTATTCCTCATACCATTACGACAGACCAGGGTGGGCAGTTCGAATCTAAATTAATGGAACAATTTACAAAATTTTTTGGTTGTCATAAAATTCATACATCTGCTTATCACCCCCAGAGTAATGGTATGGTGGAAAGATTTCATCGCACTATGAAGTCTGCACTAATAGCTAGAGGAAACACCACCAACTGGAAAGAAGAATTACCTTTAATTCTATTAGGCATCCGTACCGCAGTTAAGGAGGACATTGGGTGTTCCTCGGCTGAACTCGTATATGGCCAGCCTTTACGCCTCCCAGGTGAATTTTTCGTCCAAAGTCAGAATGTCCTTGAGATTAACCCTTTATTAAGTAGCCTTCACGATATTTTTAATAATATTAAGCCAACAAATCCAAGACATCATTCAACTCAAACCACATTTATTTCGTCAGAGTTAGACACCTGTGAGTATGTTTTTATTAAAACAGAAGGTTTTCGAAGTTCATTATCGCCCATTTTTGAAGGACCTTTCAAAGTTATAAAACGTTTTGACAAGAATTTTTTAATTAATAAAGACAATAGAGAATATGTGGTTAGCATTGACAGAATTAAACCAGCTTTTTTCCTTTCAAAACATATCCCTGAAGTAGATTCAGGTAAACCCAAAAAGAAAGTCTCTTTTGTAATCAATTAAATAATATTGTTTTTGTTTAAGGGGGGAGTATTTGTAGTGTACTGCCTCTGTTTTTATTACGTTACCATGTGATTTTTAGTTTTAGACAGATGTAAATAAATATAACTTGTCAACAAAAAATATATTTGTCACAGAAAAAGCAAAACCTTTTATTCACATTCATACTCCGATATAACATACCAGGTTAACTACATGACTCCGACAAAAAGTACCCAAGTTAAGTTTCTAATTTGATATTTCTTTGCAGAAGGTGCTAGAAAAAGTAGCAAATGCAAAGAGAAGAAGGTTGCAGAACAGGAAATTGTGAGATGGCTAAGAAGAGTTGATGATAGCCTAGAAACTTTCAATAAAGAAAGCAAAACAATTTAAATAATTCTTTTAATGTAAAAAATTAAATAAATACAAATTAACTTGTTTACTTTTCTTTGTATTGCACTAATACGTACATTATACATCATAAGTAAGTACCAATAAGGATGTAAAGTACGTCTAGAATATGTACTCTATTGGAATAAGTACAAACTACGTACATAGTATGTACATTAAGTACGTACATAGTATGTACATTAGGTACGTACAGAGTACGTACTGTAAGTACGTACTAGGTACGTACCGTCGTTTGGAAAATGTACGTATTATGTACGTACTATGTACGTACTTCGTACAGTAAAGTACGTACATAGTACGTACTTTACGTCCCATCAGTACGTACATAGTACGTCTTATGTACGTATGTGTGTTTGCTGGGTTGTTGCACAAACTACTTATGTCTGACGTCCTTATCCATCTTGAATACATTTAACCTAGATTTCCCTAGATTTATAATACGTAGTCCCCAGTTAACAAACAAATAAGTTGTATTTTTAATATACATACTTGTTTTGCGCATTTTGACAGGTGCAGGGTTACATCAAGTCCTGATGGTCCAGCTCCTATCGTAAGTATGCGTTTATCTGCAAATGGTACCGGTGATCGAAAAGAGTGACTGTGTAGTATTTCTCCAGAAAATTTTTGTAAATTTGTAACTTCTGGTATAACGGGATCACTGTAATGACCATTACAAATCATCACTGCATCATATATGTTTGTAGTACTTTTCTTGTTTGGTTTGAAAACATAAGTTAATTGCCATTTATTACCTTCAGTTGGACGAATGTCAGTTACCATGCAGTTAAACTGAAAATAACAAAAATTAAATTTAAATTTAACTCTGCACGAATATCGTTTACACTACAATAAATGTTTTGAGGTTCCATGAATTCTTAATAAAATAAAAACGCATAGGAAGGCAGCAGAACTCTCAGGAAATGTTTAGTTAAAAACTTTGCCACTTTTTAAGGCTTTTTTATACCCTATTCAAAAATTCTACTTAAAATAAATCAGCAAATACACTTAAAAATATGTAAACACAATTTACAAGCAAGTTTAGTGGCCGCAAGTACTTTCCGCCACTAAACTTGCCAAGTGTAAACGTAGCTTTAAGGGATAAGGTGACCTACGATTTTTTCATGGACAGGCTTAATGGGTAAAGGGCGCAAATATTTTTTATATAAAATGTTTGAAGTTCAAACAATTTCCAAGCCGTAACTAATGGAAATGGAATGGTTCTTAAATACCAGCGCTAGCAACGTGAAGAAAAAATTCAACATCTCTTCCGTTCTTCCGTTCAAAATCAAATCATTTTTTTTATGCTATGAGTTTTTCCGTGGAGGCTCAGGCTAGATAAGGTGAGAATCACCAATTTAGGATCTCGAAAATTTTTTTGAATAGTTTTGTTATATTTTGGGAGCCTAAAAATTGCCTAAAAATGTGACAGTTGCTTTTAGATAAAGTATTTAAAAAACCGAGTTGCTCTGCTGAATTCTAACAGAGCACCTTGATATTTTTTGTAAAACACAAAAAACAAAAAAAAATTGAAATGGTTTTAAAAATAGCCAAAAAATACGGCAGATTTCACCTCAAAATTCCCGAGATACTATGCTGACATCGTTCAAAGCTAACAAGATAGCAGAGCACTTTGAGTTAAAAAAAACGATGAGAATAAATTGTTTGGACAGGGCAAAAAAATAGAGTAAAAGTAGCCTAAAAAAATATGACATAGGTTTCAACTCAAAATTCTCTAGGTGTGATCTATTGCCTTCTTAGGCACAATAAAATACAAAATCGGCTTTAGTCTGTGTGTCTCTTTTAGATCTCCTTATTTGAAAAATGTACTTGCTAGAGCAGTGGTTGCCAACCTCTCAATGTGTTGAGCTACTTTGTTAATTTTGGAATTAACAGCGAGCTACCCACATGGAAGCCACGTAACGCAACGTAAATGAAATAATCCACAGTTAATTTATCATTACATGTATTTATTTTACTATTTAACTGGTAATACATAATACATAGGTACTAATAATAAACTAATAACAAAATAACTAATACTACTAGTACGTACTTGTTCATAGCTACATTCCTACCTACCAAACGAAGGTGTTTGAAAAATAAACACAAACTTTTATCCAGCCACAACGGCATGTCACGTAAGATTTAAAAATAGTTCATAATAACAACAAAAAAGTACCGCACTATCATGAACATAAACATTGAAAAATAAAAAAGCACGTTCAATGAGAAGGCTGACACTCAGACTCATCGATAATTTTTTTAATGTTTGCAGTATAATTTGATACAGCCATTCGAATACAATTATCCAAATGTTCATCTGTAAGTCGATTGCGATATTTGTTTTTAATAAACTTCATATTGGAAAAAGAAGATTCACACAAATAGGTTGAACTGAATAATGCTTTCACTTTCAAGGCAACACGGCATAGAACTGAATATTTGTCTTTACTTACAATAGGCCAAAGTTCTGCATAACACAAGTTGCAAACTGTTGGATATCAATTTCCATAAAGGGTGAAACAAAAAACTGCGCTACTAAAGCCATTTCGTTGAAATCCTTAAAACGATTTTTGAAGTTATTCTTCAGGGTAGAAACTATTTCTACATGATATTTGCTGTCATAGGGTTCTAATGGATTTTGAGATATTTTTTCTGAAAGAATAGGAAAATGCTTGGCATCGCTGTTAATTAGGTTTTGTTCCCAAAACTCCAGCTTTTTTATAAATGCTTTTATATCAAAAATCATTTCAGCTAGTTCTTTGTCTCTCCCCTGAAGCTGCAAATTAAGTTCGTTTAATTTCTCTGTAATGTCCACGAGAAAATCAAAATTTCTAAGCCAGATAGAATTTTCTAGTTCCGGAGTCGGTTCATCGCGTTGTTTGAAAAATTTAACTATGCCAGATAGGACATCATTAAAACGTTTCAGCACCCGTCCTCTACTTAACCATCGGACTTCAGAGTGAAGGAGTAGGTCCCCGTATTGACAGTCAACTTCATCGGCCAAGGTTTTGAATAATCTTCTTTGTAACGCTTGAGCTCTAATCTTGTTCACAATTTTTACCACCAGTTTCATAACGTTGTTTAGTTTCAGGAAATTTCCACATAATGCTTGCTGATGGATAATGCAGTGGTAACAGAGAAATTGAGCAAAAATTTCATCTTTACGACATAACGCCACCAGATCCTTATTACAACCCACCATAGCTGGAGCGCCATCGGTTGTCAAGCCTACCATTTTCGATATTGGAATTTTCTCGGAAGAAATAATATTTTTTAAATGAGAAAACAACTCCTGCCCAGTAGTGTGTCCTTTCAGTGGAATAAACTTCAAAAGATCTTCTTTAATCGTAAAATCACTAAAAACCATCCTGACGAACACGGTCATCTGGGCAGTGTCAACGACATCTGTTGATTCATCCAGTTGAAGTGAAAAATAAACACAGTTATCTAAGTCAGTTCTTAACTGTAAAAAAATATCATTGCTCATTACTTCTACACGTCTCATCACTGTATTAGCAGAAAGTTGCATATATTTTATAGCTGAAACTATCTCGTCTATATTTCTAAAGTTGGCAAATAACGAATCAGCAGCTTCTAAAAACGCCTGTTTTATCATTTCCCCGTCTTCATAAGGTTTCTTTTTTTGTGCAATTATCTGGGACACACGGTACGATGCTTCAGTTGCAGCCTTATTTTTGTCACCTGTTCTTAAAAATATTGATTGTTGTCCAATTAACTGCTTTTTTAACTGTTTCAGTTTCTCCTTTCTAGCGGCAGAATGTAGTGGGAATGATTTTTCAAAATTAGAATGTACAGTTTTATGATGTCTCTCAATATTTCCTTTTTTAGCAACGGAGACCGAAGTATTACATAACAAACACACATTTTATCTTTAACTTCTGTAAAAAAGTATTGTTCTTCCCATTCCGAATGAAAGTCTTTGTCTTTACCTTCTTACAACTGCTTGCCATAATATTATTTTTTGTTGTTTTCTACTAACCCAACCGCTGGACGTTGGTTACGCGTTCAGTTTTAAACTAAGCGCAATGTCGCCGCGCCGTGCGTATTTATCCCGTTCAAAGCAATCCTGATCGTTCTCGAACACTAACGCGCTGGTCCGGCTGGTCGGTTCTAGCCGATTCGAGCTTGATGGCGTCAGCGGCAGATCGCTCACCGCAACGTTGTCGTTGTTTATGTTTAATATTATGACAATTAGATTTTTTTGTGGAATTTTCGGAAGCTTCTCTGATTTTTGCAGTTTGTATTTTTTAAATTAAAATCGTTGTGAGAGCTACCAGAATTGCCTCTGCGAGCTACCGGTAGCTCGCGATCGACAGGTTGGCGACCACTGTGCTAGAGTCTTGATGGGTAGGTATTATTTTTCTTTCTATTCATGGCATATACAGAGTGTAACTAAATAAGTGTAAAACATTTAAGGGGGTGATTCCTCATCGAAAAAAAGATAGGATCTTTCATATAAAGAAACTTCATTGGAGCATCCCTTGTTAAGATACAGCCCCTTTAAGGGGGTACATAAAATTTGTTTAACAATTTTTTTCACAAGCACTAAACAAGTTACAATATTGAAATTAACCTGACATTTTCTACTATCAAAAAGACACTTAGCCAGTAATTTATTTGGTTTACCCCATGGTTGTAAGGGGTGGAAAACGCAACCCCTAAAATTTCGTTCCAACGTAACTTTTTGTCTTATTATTTGTTTACCATTTAAAATTTTATTTCCGATAGCATGTTTCATTCTAAACAAAAAATGTCTCTTGAATTTTTTGCCCAAAATAAACCAGTTCGCAGCAAAAAATTATTTTATGACGATGTATCTCTGTAGTTGTTCGTAAAATAATTTTTAATGGTAAACAAATAATAAGACAAAAAGTTACGTTGAAACGAAATTTTAGAGGTTGCGTTTTCCAGCCCTTACAACCATGGGGTTAACCAAATAAATTACTGGCTAGTAAACTGTCAAGAATGCACAACTTGGACCTCCTTACTAAATGGAAAACCTATAATCGCATTTTCGGTGAAATTTGTTGGGAAGGTATTTATCTACTTATAATTCGATTACTGTAAGAAATTCTTGGAATTAAAATAAAACAAAATTGGCAAATAGGTACTTATTGAAAATAATCTTAAGATACGGCTATGTAATCTTTAATACACAGTGCTTTTGGCCTGTCCAAACCTTTTTCTATTGTTCTGTACAGCTTCTGTTTATAACGGACCAATAAAAGACCCAAAACTTGTAATAGCTCAGGTACATTTATTACAATTTTAGGAAATATTTAGATTATTCTGTAAAAATATGACCGTACTAAGTTTTGCATTAGAAATGCTGTTTTATTACTCTCTCATACATAAAAATAGACTATAGACCAAGGTTATTTTTCTATTTTTTTAGGTCATAAAATATGAAATCTTACCTTTATATGTTGTCTTAATTTAAAGTAGTCAGCGTATTGATTAAGAAAACTTAGAACCTCTTCGTGAGTTAAATATGATTTTTCTTGAGAAGGGACTGGAAAATCTGGAAATCCCATTGCTTCTTTTGCGATATTAGTTCTGGAACATTTTAAAATAAAATTGTGGAGGATTTCTAAATAGCTAGGCTATAGCCGAGAGACGTATTTATAACTTTTTAAAGGGGGGGGGGCTGACACAACTATCTGAGACACGGTTCGTAGACACTACGGTGGCCTCATCCTCGTATATTAGTTCTTCAAAAAATCTAATATTTTTTTGGTATTTACTGGTGTTTATATTTTTAGTTTTAGACTATTTTCTAGAGTTTTTATAATATGGGTAGTTTGATTTGTTGAAAAATGAGGTACACAATAGCAAGAAAAATCATGTAATAATTTGAATAAAATTTCAAATAAATTACTATTTTTTATTATTATTCTTGTGTAAATGGTTGATTTTGAACAATTTGGGTTAGGGTACGGCCTCCGAGGCGAACTCTGACCAAATTTTGTTTAAAATTAAATATTTTTAAATTTTAGCATGCATGGAGAGAGCTGTAATGTTGCTGTTTGCAAACACAATTTTTAGAAACCAAAAACATCAGAAGAAAGGCAGTGGACCTAAACTGAAATTAAAGGCTAATGGTAAGATTTTAGAATATTATTCTGCAATTATCATTCACAATTATTAATTTAATTGCAGCTTTATCCACCCTACATTTAAAAGCAGATGAGATGGTTTATTAGAAGCATTAAATACAACCAAGAGCAAGCAAAGTCACAGGACCTTACGTTTGTTTATTTTATTTATAGTTTATTTATTTGAAACACTTTATTTATAATTTATTTATACTAATTAATTTATATAATACTGAGACACTAACTCACAATTCTAATTTATTTATTACAATTTGTATTTACTGTCCCAACACTTAAATCCAATCTTCTTGTTCGTCGTAGTTTAATGCTTGTTAAAGAGTCAAAGTTTATGTCCCAAATATTTATTAAAATTGTTACAAATGGTGTGAATATGTGCATGAATTTGCCAAAATATTTGTTCGATGTGTGGGGAAGTAAAATTCAGTTGTATATCATGTAGTGCTAATCTACATTTAATTTGGGGAGGTCTGGACAATTCAATAAATTTTTAACTAATTATTAAATAAAAAGTATATAGGGTAGCGGCACCACTTATGGCCACTTTAAGAACTTTTAAATTATTTTTCTATTGGGAAAAGTGTAGGATTCGAAGAAAATCTTTTCAATCAACGCCTTTTGTGCTTTCGAATCTGCTCTATTAGGAGATCAACTGATATTAAAGATTCAATGTAAAATGAAAAATATTATAACGGTTTCTATTTTTACCTACAAAAATCCCCGCTTTTGGCCATCTGTTTCTACATTTGGCCATAAATTTTCCCCACTTTTGGCCACCCAAAAATTGTTTAAAAATCGAGATACAACTTGATTGGGTATTGCTATATAACTAAATACCTATTTATTGAACTACATAATTCTAAGTAAATCAAAATAACTTTCTGGTAACAAAAATAAGTAATACACATTAAAATACTTTATAAATGGCATTCATATCTGTTCGTAAATGTCTACTTGTCCTGAAAAAATTGTTTTACGCTTTCTGCCTTGTTCCTGGACAACAGGCTCGGGTAGTTTTGCTAAAATGTCGCCTTTATCTATGCTGCTAACGTCGTTTTCTATAGGATAAAACACAGTCTTCTCTTCATTAGAACTTTTAAAAGATTGTATCTCATACTCTTCTGATGAAAAGATATTTAAAATTTTTGCAACATATCTATACGTTGTCGTCGATCTTTTACCCAATAGTTTAAATGTTACAAGTACAAAATCTCCTAATTGCAGATCATTGGTACCGAACATTTCAATGTTTTCTTGTTCAGGTTCCATAAAGTCAATATCGTCTCCACTGCTACAACTTTCCTCCCAGTCTTCCTGTTCTTCTGAAGAAGAGCCCGGTTCTAGGTTTTGTTTTTCAAGTTTTGTTGTCTTTTTTTGGAGTTTTTCGCCTTCTTTTTGTACCTTCATCTGTTTTTTCTGCTCTCTAGCCTGCTTCCTTTCTTGCCTTTGTTGTTCCTTTTCACTTTTAATTCTCTCACTTACTTCATGATACTCCACCCATTTATCAGATGTGACAACACTTGGTATGTATTCTTTTTTCCTCTTTCTCTTTGAGTCCGTTTTCTTTTGTTGAGGATAAGGAAGTACATTGTAAAATACTGCAGAAGGGATAGGTTTTTGTGGAACAAAAAATATTTCGTTTGACTTGTTCTACATCTGAACGAGATATGCCAGCCATCGTAATATTGCTATCATTCGACGTGGTTGGAACTTGGTCGTCAAAGTGGTCAGTGACTTGTTTTACATCTGGACGAGATGTGCCAGCCATCCCAATGTTGCTATCATCCGATGTGGTTGGAACTTGATCGCCTAAATGGTCAGAATTGGAATTTTCGGGAAGCACAGCATTTATCATATTATCATTTACAATAGACGTCTTGGGCGATACATTTTGAAGAGCATTGTTACCAGGTTCAGGATCTTCTCTCGCCAAGTTTGGTAGACTTTCTACATCGTTTGTAATTTGAAACCAAATATTATACAACGATTTATCTTCAATATTACCTTCCCATTCGTAGTTTCTTCTTTTTGTTGTCTTAAATTGGTCCAGGAGAACCACATCAATTTTTGATTCCAGATATTGAAGAAAAGCTGCAGCTTCAGGGTCAATATCTCGGGCTTCCAATATGTCGGGATCTCTCAAAATAATTTTGCTGTAGTCCACATCATTTGCTGAAAAAGCATACAGACCTGTGGCTTTAAATCCCGATATTATATTTGATGTCATTTTTGGATCGTTTATCAACTCAGACAGTGCCATGGGCAAAAGTGCTTTAGTAATCTCCTGGCCATTGTTCTCTATTTTATATTTTCGAACAACATTTTTCCACTTTCGTTTTATAGCCGCAAACACAGAGACATCTAACGGCTGGAGGATATGAGTAGCGTTCGAAACCAATGCTATTAATATTATTTGATTTTCTCTGCAAAATTTACTTAAATGAAGGGTTAGATGAGATTTATGTCCATCCAAAAAGACGATAACGGGTAACTCTATTTGAGACTCTTTAAGGTATGGGACAAATACGTTAGAGAAGTACTCATAGAAATATTCTGCAGTCATCTAGCCTTTTTCACTCTTCCCAAGCCCCCAACCTTTAGGAGCTGCCTTACAGACAGCTGATGGAATCCGGTCGTATTTGAAAATAGTAACCGGAGGAGCAAACTTTCCCTCTGCATCAGCTGTGAAAAGCGTAGTAACATTTTCTTTATCTGATGAGGTTCGTTCATCATAGACGTGTTTTCCTCGCGGTCCAATTATAATACCACTTTTTGGTGCTAAAGCGAAACATGTTTCATCCATATTAAAGATCCTTTGCGGATTTTCTAATATACTGGTTGCATCGATATCGCTTAAAGTCGTATGAATCTCGTCGAACCACTTACGGATTTTCTCTTCAGTTACTGCGCCTCTACCACCGTGAATGTATTCGGCTTTCTTCTGAGAAAGTTGTTTGTGTCTATTAAGGAAGCTGTAGTACCATTTTTTGCCAGGACGACCATTGACAAAAGGAGTTTGAATATTTGCCTCTCGAACAAGTTTTTGTACTGAAGTCAGGAGCCCGTCTTTGTCTATAGGAAATCCCATCTTCGCACATTTTAATATCCATTCGACTAGGCGGTCTTCAGTCTCTTTTCCCAAGTGAGAATCGAATCCGCAGTGCCTTGAATATCTTGGAGACTTTCCGGATATTTTATTACGCAAAGTAGTTCTCGGTACATTAAAGTTACGACTTGCTGTGGCCACAGCCATTCCCTCAGATATGGCATTTAAAGCAAGATTTACTTTTGTAGGTGAGTACTGAAATTTCGCTTTACTCAACTTTTCTACTCTGCTTTTATGGTTTTTCTTCGGTGCTTTTGACATTTTCACTAAAATAAATAAAATATATTTATCTGAAACATGTTGAATCGGTAGAAAAGTAAACTGGCCAAAAGTGGATTTTGCTTATCTACTTATGGCCAGCAGGATGGCCATATGTGGGTAACTAGTGAATTTTTAGATTCCACTTATGGCCACCCTGTCAAAAAACTATTAATTGTAACTAACAATAAAAAATATACAATAAAAACTATCTATTTACCTCAAATGCAGATAAATTAACATTTAGTACTGGATTCACAAAGATTTTTTCAGAACAATTTCTTAATAAAATTCGTTAGTTTTCTTGACACCTTCAATGCACTGCCACTCAAACTGCTACCACAGGCTACAATGAAACTAAAGTATGGGTTAGATAAGTTTCTGTCTCTGTCCCCACTTACTATGGTATTATTAGACATTTCAGCAGCTTTAAGCTCATTGGTGGATACACACCATGCTTATTATTCCACCAATTACAGTAAACTGCCATAAGTGGGGTAGTGGCCATAAGTGGTGCCTCTACCCTACCTATCCTACAGTATTCTCCTGTCTTCTAGAGATATAAACTGGTCAAAATATTCATACCTCCTTTAAAATTTGGTACCTACCTATTTTATTGCAAATTTTTCGAGTTTTTTCTTTTGAAATTTAGTAATTTCTTATTTTAAAATCATAATATAAATTATAGCTTGGCCGACAAGCCATTTATATGTTATAATAATGTCGCCTATAATAAAATATTTAAAATCATTGCTACGCAGTAATGTTATAATAATTAATAACTAGTAGTTTACTTAAAATTGAGTAACAAAATTTTTTTAACACATCCAAATTACTTAATCATTTATGCAACATTTAACAGTTTCCTGTAATAAATAAAAATGTTTAATATCGACGTTTAAACCACGTTTCAAATGGTATGTTTATTCATTTTTGATATAAAATCGACCTCAATAAACTTTTTTTGACTTCAACAATTATTACCCAATTCATGATAATTGCTATGATAACTTTTGCAAAATTACTGAGCATAATGACGTGTTTCAGGGTCAGGGATTTGGATTTTCACATTTTTAAGGGGGGAAACGGGGGTTGAAAGTTTGTATATAAATAATGACGTATTTCAAGGTTTTTGGATTTTCACATTATAAAGGAGGGAGGAAATGGGGAGTATATGTTGTACTCCTGTTAAAACCATTTACATAGGTTAACACTAATATTAACTTTTGTAAATAGTTTTCTGGAATCTTATGAGTTGTCTGGGTAAATTGTTCTTCAGAACATAGCCCAATAAAAGAATAAGAAGAAGAAGAAGAATCGTAAAACTAAATAATAAATAAAAATAAGTAAAAATAAATAAAAATAAATAAAAATAAATAAAAATAAATAAAAATAAATATAAATAAATAAAAATAAATAAAAATAAATAAAAATAAATAAAAATAAATAAAAATAAATAAAAATAAATAAAAATAAATAAAAATAAATAAAAATAAATAAAAATAAATAAAAATAAATAAAAATAAATAAAAATAAATAAAAATAAATAAAAATAAATAAAAATAAATAAAAATAAATAAAAATAAATAAAAATAAATAAATATAAATAAAAAATAACTATTTATATTTTTCTTATTCCTGGTTGATTAAACCAAAACCAATATCAATTTTTAATTTAATTTATAAATTTTTTTAATTTGTTCTTTACTTAAATATTTGTCAAAAATTAAACAAATAGATTTACAGTTTTCAAAAAAAATGTATAATTTACCTCAAATCTTGATACATAGCCGAATGTATAGGGTAGCCATATTTATCTTGTCCAACATCATCACTATACACCCAAGTGCCGCCAATTTCGTTGGACATTTCAAAAACATCGCACTTAAATCCATTTTGAAAAGCGTGTCTAGCTGAAGCTAAACCAGCTGCACCAACTCCGACTATAGCCACACGCATTTTTAAAAAAACTTATATGTACAGATTAAACTGTCGCGGTTATCTAGTCTAGATCGTATTTGGTGAACACGCCACAGAAAGTTTTCTTTTAATAATCATATTTCATAACCAAAGAGGGGGGAAATATATAGGAAAGAGGTGCCATGATTTTGAAAACCAAACACCGATAATTTTATTTGGTATATTTGATATTAGAGTGTATCACATGCAGAGTGTATCACATGCAGGGACGCTAGAGGTTAAGAAGATGTTGAAGAGGCCTCTGGAGATTAGCAGCCGAAGTCTAGTATTGTGTGCAGTGTTGCCAGAATATAGTTTTTTAATGTACCAGATTTATCTAAAAAATGTACCAGATTTCATAAAAATGTACTAGATTCTATAAAATTACCAATTTTTTCTAATTATGAAGTATGGTCATTAAAGAGCAAAAAAAAAGTATATAGAGAACACGAACACAACAATTTTAAACAATATTTTATCTCTCGACAAATTTCTGACACTATTTGACCTCTCGAGAAATGTTTGAAAAAGATTTTAATATCTTTTGATATTAGTTTATCTCTCGAACAGTTTTTAAATATTTATTTATCTCTTGAGCTATTTTTAAACAATATTTTATCTCTCGATAAATTTCTAACAGTATATTATCTCGAGCAATTTTTAACAACTTTTTGTTATCCCTCGAGCAAGGTTTGTACAATATTTTTTGTACAATATTTTTTGTACAATTTTTAACACTATTTAATCACTCAAGCCAATTTTCAACAGCCTTTTTTTACCTTTTAAGCTATTTTTGAAGAATATTTGATCTCTCGTGCAATTTTTGAGCAAAATTTTAACAATTTCTAACACTATTTCATCTCTCGAGCAATTAAAAAAAAAGATTTTAATACCTTTTGATAATATTTTATCTATCGAACAGTTTTTAAATCTTTATTTATCTCTTGAGCTATTTATAAACAATATTTTGTCTCTCGATAAATTTTTAACAACTTTTTATCTCTCGAGAAATGTTTGTACAAAATTTTTTGTACAATTTTTAACACTATTTAATCACTCGTGTAATTTTGAGCATCTTTTTTACCTTTCAAGCTATTTTTAAACAATATTTGGTCTCTCGTGCAATTTTTGAGCAAAATTTTAATAATTTCTAACATTATTTTATCTCTCGAACAATTTTTATTAACATTTTTTTATCTTTCTAACAATTTTTAAACAATGTTTCATCTTTTGAGAAATGTTTAACAGTATTTTTTAATTCTCGAGTTATTTTTGAATAAGATTTTAATAACTTATAATATTATTTTATCTCTCGAATAATTTTTAAACCTTTATCTCTTGAGCTATATTTAAACAATATTTTATCTTTCGATAAATTTCTAACATTATTCTATTTCTCAAGCAATTTTTAACAACTTTTTTTGTCTCTTTAGCAAACTGCACAATATTTTAACTCTCAACAAATTTATAAAAATATTTTAACTCTCGATAAATTTTTAACAATGTTTTATATCTCGAGCAATGTTAGTACAATATTTTACCTCTTGAGCATTTTCTAATAGTATTTAATCGTTCGAGAAATTTATAAACAATGTTTTATCTCTCGAGAAATTTCTAATAGTAGGTATGTATCTCTTGAGTCAATTTTGAACAATATTTTATTTCTCAACAAATTTTTTAATAGTATTTTATTCCTCGAGCAATTTTTAAACAAGCGTTTAACATTTTGTAATACTATTTTACCTCGAGCAATTTTTGAACACGATTTTAACAATTTATAATACTATTTAATCTCTGGAAAAATTATTAAATATTTTTATCTCTCATTGCATTTCTAACAGTACCTATTTTTATCCCTAGAGCAATTTTTGAACAATATTTTACCCCTCAAGCAATTTCTAATACTATTTTATACTTCGACCAATTTTTAACACCCTTTTTTACATGTCAAGACATTTTTGAACAATACTTGATCTCTCGTGAAATTTTTAAACAATGTTTTATCTCTCGAGAAATGTCTACTATTTTATCTCTGAAGTAATTTTTAACAACTATTTTAATTTCTCTTGATATTTTTGACCAATATATTTTACACTTCAAATGGAAACATACGCTGAAAAAAGTACTAGATTTTGTTTCGAGTGTACTAGAGTACCAGATTCTCAGAGAATGTACTAGATCTAGTACACTTGTACTAGACTGGCAACACTGATTGTGTGTCTATCAAAAAGCGATTAGAGAGTAGAGGTGAAAGGTCATAATATGAACGCGAACTGCTTTGGTATCAGCTGTAGCAATGTAAACAATAATTTGCATACAAACAATTAATTGTATAGAGTGGTCTCAACAAAGTTAGAATACAGGGTGAGCTAAACAATGCAGCGTCGTCGCATGCATCGTGGCCTGCGTTTGAATATTGTTGAAAATTGAAAGAGTTGCGCTGTAGAAAGAAAAAGGAGGGAGTAACGAAATTATTCCGACTCATAATTAATATGGTTAGCTAAGATGTTAAACAACGTCTACATAGCAATATGGCATTAGTATTTCGATGTACTCGAACCAGTTCAGAACTAAGTTGGAAGAATGTTGTCAAAACATTCGAAATTCGAACCGAGATATTTTGTAGAGCATTAGTACATGTTTTACGCTTATTCTTCTTTAATAATAACACAATCGTTATTATCATTTCAAGTTGGAACGAGTCGAATAGTTTATCGACTGTACACACTTGATCAAGAGGCAGTCGCTGAAGAAGTACTTGAAAGATTTATTCATTAATAAATATAATTCACAAGAAATACAGCTCTGAACGATAATATTTTCAAAAACTGTTTCCATAAATAGGTTCAAAAAACTGTAAAGAATGATGGAAAGTCCATGTTTTGTTTTACTTTTAATGCATAATATTTTAATAAGTGATATTTAACAAATATTTAAAAGTTATGGACTTTCCATCATTTTTTATAGTATTTGGGGTCTATTCTGTAACAATTCCTTTATATTTAACGGCCTTTAAAAATATTAGCGGCCTATAAAAATATGTTCGTATTCGTTAATTTACTTCTGTCATTATTTAAACAGATTTCTTTAAGAGAGCCCTCTAATGTATTTTAAAAATCCGTTTAAATAATGACAGAAGAAGAAAATATTTTTAAAGGCCGTTAAATATAAAGGAATTGTTACAGAATAGACCCCTTTAAAAGTTAAAACGCAAAATACATGCTTTTATTTTTGCCTAATTATTTCAGGATTCTTGTGATAAGATTTAAAAATGTAGGGCCCATAAAATGCTGCCATCTGAACAGACGGAATAGACACTAAATTGAAAAATTGCAACATCGCTCCCTATACAGACGAATGTAAAATGGCTCAGCCCAACTTGACCATGTTTCTGAGTGAATGGCGAGAGGCGAGGTGGTGTGCGGGGAAAGGTTGCAAGTAAATAAATTATTCTATAAATGGTATTTTCTGTTTGGAACACAACACAAGCATGTTTGTTTTGAAAGTTTGACGTTTATGGTTTGACGTGTCATTTCAATTTAATGGACTTTAATAATTTAAAAGATGCAATGTAATTATATTATTTATATATATTATTGTAGATCCAGGTATGTTTTCTGTTTTTATTTTATTTTTATTTTCTTTATTTGGCTAGTTTGCTAATATCACAATATTCAAATTTAGTAAAAAATAATGTAATAATATAACAATTATTTTAATAACATTCTAAATAGGAAATGTAATTTAACTGCAATTGTTTTGATAACAGTATTTGCATATGGCCTGTGAATTTCATCTGTTTCCGAATAATTACCCTTAAATATTTGAATTGTTCTACTAACTGTATAGATTTTCTTCCAATTTCCTATATTGTTTGTCCACAAACTGCATATAGTTATTACTTATCAGCTTATATTTTGTTTTAGGTATTTGTGTTGATTTTTAACAAATGATTGCAACATCATTTATAAACATTTTGCAGAGTTTCATTGACAATTAACTCTTAGTTATCTGAATCCTTACAACTTACAAGAAACATAGATAAGGACATCATAGGCAAACAGGTAAATGTCATATTAATTATTGCAACATTAACAATCATTAATATAAATTAAAAATAACAGGGGACCTAATTTTCTTCCTTTGATGTGGTTAATTTCTTCTGATCAGAACAGTGATTCTTTTGTGCCAACTCGACACATTACATACAGAATAGAGAGAGACATTACATCAAAATCGCTGTCTGTCGAACAAAGATAGGAGTCTCGATAGGAGACGTACTCAAAAGATGAGAATCCCACTACATATGTTATTTAATTTTAATCTCTCTGACCTGATACTTAGATAATCTACATACTACCCCAATGCATGCTTTATAGCATAGATATAAAAACCACCTTTATACCAATACTTTTTAATTTTTTTATCGAATAGTTTTGGTCAACAGAATCAAGTGCATTTTAAAGAAATACAATTAATTTTTAATTGTACATATGGCGGGTTGTACAATAGGTAGTTAAAATGTAGACTTAGTTTAAACTGTGAACCTTGTTGTATACTCATCGGTTATTGTTAAACATAGTTTTAAAAATGACATTTGTTTTTGAATATAACTAGTTAAAAATAAAACTTGTTAGTTAAAATATGTTTAGAATATTTTTTGTACAACCTGCCCATAATGTATTTTGTAATAATTAAAAATCATAATATTCTTGTAAGGAAGTTGGAAAGCTTAGGGTTTGATCAGTCGCTGTTGAGATTATTTTCATCTTACCTAAATCATCGTTTTAATTGTCTTTTACAACGAATTTTCATCTTCACCCCTCACAGCAACATCTGGAGTTCCACGGAGCGTCAATCTGGGGCCACTATTATTTAGTATATTTATAAATGACTTGGCAATAAATTTAACCTGCTGTTCGCTGCTGACTTAAAAATATTTAACTCAATCTCATCAATTCAAGACTGTTACTTTTTACAGACCCAACTTGGGAATCGTTGAAAATTGGTGTAATGAAAACAAGCTGTTTATGAATGTGTCTAAATGTAAAGTATGTTCCTATACTAGAAGTATTAACAAGGTGGAATTTGATTATTTATTTAACAGCCTACCTTTATCGGACTTGTGCACAAATTGAAGATTAAGGTATATTATTCAACCAAAAAGTTACTTTTTCGGATTATATTGAAAATACCGTTGCTTCTGCGTTGAAAAGCTTAGGGTTCTTAATTCGTAATACTCGTTCTTTTACAAACTCTTAAAGCTTGGAGATCCTTACTTTTTTTTAGTTCGTTCCAGGCCAGAATATGCATCTCTTGTCTGGAACCTTATTTACAATATTCATAAAAGATCATTAGAAAATGTTCAGCGGCGATCTCTCAAGTACCTTTCTTTTAAAATAGATGAGCTGTATCCCATTCGAGGTATTGAAGAATCTCTGCTTCTTTCGAAAATAGAAGGGTAGTTTCCAGTGTTACATTTTTTTATAAAATATTACATAACACTATTGATGTACTATTTTTCATAAATTAAATAAATTTTAATGTTCCCCAAACAGCCATTAGATATCATAAAACATTTTATACAGCAAGTATTTGAACGAACTTGGGAAGAAATTCACCTATATAACGCTAATGTGCTCAAATTTTAATTAATTTTGTTCTGATTGGGATATTTATTTCGACCATTAGTTGTACTAATTTGTAGCTAATGTATTTATGATTCTTTCTTTTCTTTTTTTTTTTCTTGCTGTTGCTAAAATTATTTTCTGTCGAAATATTGTGCTTAACATTTATTTCATGTATTTTGTTCTGTAAATGGATTAATTTGTTAGACAATAAAATTATTTTTATTTTAATAAGCAAAAAAATTTTTATTTTGATGCACCTACCACCTTTAAAAGTTTGTCAGTACATTAATGAGAAATCCTATATAATTCCTAAAGAAAAATATTTTTGGAATAAATTCCGAATTCTATTTATTGATATTTGTTATTTTTTAGGTTCAATGACTTGAAACATGATGATCAGCTACACCAAGAATATCCTTGATACTTAAAAAAATGGTACGAGATTAAGCAGATTTGATGCTATGGCACATTGTGGTGCGAAGACGTGGCTTGTATAAATTTGGGGTATCAGTTGATAGAAAACAGTACGCAAAAATAAATTTAAATCTGCAGATGCATCAGAGATAGCCATATTCCATACCACAATACGTCATGCGTGAACTCGATTAGATTATTTCATCGGCTAAGTATCATTCCTCTGTAATGTTTTGTATCATTAGGAACACCAACATTGTAAACAATTATGACCAGGGTTTTCTAACCTTTTCCCTGGGTCAGAGAGAATAAATGAAAACTAAATAATGTATAGTAATAAAGATTGAAAATATATATACTTTTAAGAGTTTTATTATGTCAGCCATAGTTTTATACCAAAAATGAAAATAAACTGAAATTATACATTAAAAATACATTCATAAATTAACTATATTTATAACACTCATCGACTCTCTCCTGGCTAAAATATTACTTATCTATCTATTAGGCTCTGTTCCGTCTATTTTTTGCCTTTAGCCTCCTTCTGACACTTCCATTCGTTCTTATTCAGTGTAGTATGCATAGTTTTCAGAATATCAAGTGTTATACCTATATGATGCTTGGTCCTGCAAAGTTCATCTTCAGTACACCTGCTTATGTCACATCTATCTCGATGTCAAGTTTGATTGAACATCCGTTTCTTGCCTATTACTTTTATATTTAACCAGAACTAGCTTAGACTCGAACGGCCAAACACAGCCTTGGTACACAAATATCTATTTTACCGCTGGTTTCATTACAAAAAACTGGAGTAAAGGGTAAAATTATCTCTTGTCCAGTACACCCGTATTAGCCTATATTATTGTTGAATGAAGACGTATATATTTAAAAATATCGTTTACTTAAAAATAAACATTTAATTTTGATATTTTATTTAACTCGATCAAAACATTAAATTATTATTTTCCATGGCTTATACCGGACCTGTATGTACTCTAATAGCCATGGAGTAGCTGACAGTGTTGCCGTCAGTTGCCGCCACATATTCATTAGTGACATACGTTTTATAAATTCATCGTGTTACAAATTTGTTGACATAAAGAGATAGAAATTTAAAGTGACGTCTTTTATTACTTCGAATGAAAAAAATCGATAATGCAATTTTCTAACCTAAAAAAAATCGTGATTATATGTCAAACAAAATTGAACTTGGCCTTAAGCTTAGATCAGAATCTAACTTTTAGTTAGTCAAGTATGCTTGTAAAAAGAAAACGACTAATATTTCAGCCGGAGCATTAAGTATTTGGATGGATGAGGATGATTTGTAATCTAAATTACTTTTAAATAAATAATATTTGGGTAATGTTACTCTATATTAAAATATTCATTTCATTAGAATTTATGACTGCTAAACGTAGAGCTCATTACAGTATGGTGCCAGACGTGGAGCCTTAATAAAAACAATTGTGTATAATTAAAATAATTAAATTAAAATAAAAAAAAAAACACGACATCATTACCCATTACAATATAGCTACTCAAACATAATTATAACATCCTCTTCATTACAATATTTATTTATTTTTACTTACATTTTTTTTATTAATATATTTTTTTATTTTCTTTAATATATTTTTATTTAATTTTATTTATTTTTGTTTTTTTTATTTATTATCAGTTTTCATTTATTTTTTAATTTTTTTTAATCGTCAATTATTTTTATTAATTTCAATTTACTCATTTTTAGATTTATTTATTTTTATATTTATTTATTTTTATATTAATTTATTTTATTTTAATATGATTTATTTTTTTTTATTTATTTTTATTTATTTTAATTTATTTTCTTTTCCTCTGACTTTTTATTTAATTTTATTTATTTTTGTGTAATTTTATTTATATTTATTTACCTATTTTAATTATTTTTTATCTTTAGGAAAAGTGCTAAATTTAAATTTTTCAGTATTTTCGTTTTCAATGAATATCTATAGAAAAATGTTTCAAGTTAGATGTATATGGAAAATGTATATATTTAGTTATTCCCTAAACATTTATAGAGGTGCTGCAATAGGTTGTACAAAATAACCGGAAAAAGCCTATAATAACTAGATAGGAAAGTCATGTGTTGGACACATCAGATTTTTATGTAAAACTTTATGCTTTACAATTTTTATTAAGAACTTTTTTATAGCATCTACCGTTTTTAAATAACCTTAAAAATACACTTTATTTTCTTGTTTTTTGCCATTTGCCGGGGCCTGAAAAACAAATTTTTTTTACATATCGTTTCCAAATACTCTAAAGTGACTTATATCAAAAATTCCTGTATTTCCACCAAAATTTTGATTCAAAGGTCTATTTAATTGGACTATATTGTAGTTCTGTTATTTTGTTGTTATGGCTGTGGTCGCTGAGGTACCAATGTTGTTAAATAAGTACATATTCTTAATTTTATTGAATTTATTAGTTTTCAATTTAATTTTTGTGTTTATTTATGTGCAGAGCATAATAAATCCCAAAGCAAATCATAATGCATTTATTTCATAAACTTGAAAAGTGGATTTATCACACTTTGTCCGATTGCTTTTCAATTTATCTAAACTCACAATATTAATATTTTGACTTTGAATTTTATGCAGTTGTAGGCATAAAATGTAGGTAAAAGTTTTTTGGGAAAAAAATAAAACAAAAAAATTATTAAAATATTCTTTAAAAATTTTCTATTTATTCATATAAACAGTCTTATAATCTAAATTATATAATACAGTTTTATTTCCATAAGAAATATAATAATCAAACAAGATAAGTTGGATAACTTAATAGATTTGCTAAAAAAAATGAGACGAAAAACACGATGTATATGTTGTTTGATTTTTATATGATCTAGAAAATATCAATGAAAATAATCTAGTTAGAATTAAGTATATTCATGACTCGCCCTGTGTTTTTTTACAATAATTCAATTTCATATTAATTAATATTTCAAAGACATGTGAAGAGTGTCTAGTTTTGGGCCAAAAAATAGCCTGCATAAGTATACTAATACAATTTTTGTAATTTACATATTTATAATAAACCGAAACCCGGTAAAAATAGTAATGTGACTGTACAAAATCCATCACATGTTATTCGACAAAGAAACCATCATGAAAGGCAAAATACAGAGAGGAGAAAATCATAAAATTAAAACAAATCAAACCAAAGAATTCAAAAAATAGAGAACAATTTGCACTAATAAAACCATCACACGTATGCTGGGATCCCCATAACTAAAATAAGAATTCAAAAAGCAATTTATCCTAAGAAAAAATAGGATTGGAAATAAAGTAGATCACATGAGAAAATCAAATTTAATCCTGGGACAAAAATTAGGGTTTTTGATTGAATGCTATTTTTCGTTTCATTTGTTGTTAAACATTTTTCCACCATGCTTGCCAACTGTCTCATATTAAAAATCAATCACACGTAATTTATTTCCTAAAATAAGATGGTGTATCCATGTTTCCTAATCTTTGTTGGGTTATTTTACCATATCCTCCCCGTCCTGAATCATAATCGGTCCTATATTCGTCCCTAACCTACAAAAAAAAAAGTATTAAAAAATGCTCTGTGCTACAAACACATTACAGTATTTTCAATTAATTGGTGTAATATTTATATTGTATACTTTTATAATAATTTTGTTGCAGTATACCTACATTTAATTAATGCAACTATGTTAGTAAAAAGTGAGATAATAATTTCAAGCTTTAATTAAATATGCATATTCTGCCATTTATATTTTTGATATTACAAAAAAAAAAAACTCTTGTTCCCATGCATGATATTAAGAAGCTCCATTTATTAAAAATATTGCCTCAAAAATTAAATATCACAGAATGTTTTATAAATTTTGGTCAGGTCAAATCTAAATGCAGAATTAAATATAGTTAAACTGGAATATTCTGATGTGTCACTAAAATAAATCTCAAAGTCAATCATCGGACCATTAGCATTACAGGTCTCCTCAAACCTCTGCACAAGCATTTATAAGGGACTTAGAAAATTTCTAACTAAATCACCTAAATAGAAATAATGAAATATTCATAGGGGACATTAATACTGATCTCTTAAATGTAACCAATCAAGTATAGTCCTTCCATTATCAATTGCAGAACACAGTTATGTGGGGAATCATCAATATTTAATATATACGCACGGTACTCATGCCAAATTAAGAAACGAAAAATAATGTTTACTCCCCTTATACAAAGCGGTAAATATTAAACGAACCATCAGTTGTTTACCAATGAAAACATCGAATCGAAAACTTAAATGCACTGTATTGGCCGAAGGTTTACGGAAGGCAGGTGTTCGAAAATATTCCTGGAAGACAGTCTGTGATATCAGTGGAGTACTGTCGTGCGGTGTGTTTTGTATGTGTGGTTGGTTTAATTTAAATTTCTTTTAATAAATATAACTATGGCGTTCTTTAGACCAAGGGCGAATGAAGAAAATGAAATTGCACAATGTAGTGAGATTAAAGACAGGTATGACTTTAACGATAAGGATTTAGATATACAAACACAACAAGTTATTTTAAATATATTCGAATGTTTAAAAAAGGAAAATATTCAGCAGTCTGATAATGCGTTCATAATAACAATTGCTGAATTAACTAAAGTAAATAAATTTTCCGTTTATCCGGTAGTCACGAAAGGGGTTGCTGTGGATTATTCATAAAACCGAAAAACATGCAAAGAAAAACTGAAATCAGTTGACAGAGCTACCCAAGATTTTATACGAAGGACAATTTATAGTTTATATAAGGAGAACAGGGTTCCGACATTGGAAGTAATACATCAAAAGGTGGCAGTTTTTCCAGGATACACTTATACCAGTTTGGAAACATTGCGTCAAGTTTTGTCAGCATGTGGTTTTAAACACCAAAAATTGAATAAACAGATGGCAATCACCGAATCGTCAAGGATAGTTCAATGGCGACAAGATTATTTGGTCAGATAAAAGGCTACAGAAGTTCTAATAGACACATAATTTATCTAGATGAAACATGGTTTGACAGTCACGATGTAGTAAATTTCGGTTGGGTTGGCAGTAGTAAAAATTGCTGTTTGAATGGGCCATGTTCTAAAGGGAAACGCATTATAATAGTACACGCTGGAAGCAAAGACGGTTTCGTGCCTAATGCTTTATTATTATCTGCTAAACAAATTAAAAACTGTGCAGCTGATTATCATGAAGATATGACAGCAGAATTATTTGAAAAACGGTTTAATGAACAGCTTTTACCTTATTTCCACCACAGTCAGTAATCGTTATGAACAACGCATCCTACCACTCGCGGCAACTCCTTAAAATACCAAATAGTAGCAGTAAAATAGCTCAAATTCTAGCTTTTATGTCTGAAAAAAATATTCCTATTCCTGCCAGTGATAGTAAAAAAGGACCAACAAACAAAGAATTGCTTACTGTTATTAAAGGTATAAAGTTAGAAAAATGTATTATATTCTCAGACTACCTCCTTACTACTGCATATTTAACCCTATAGAGTTAATATTGGCAAACTTAAAATCAGAATTACGAAAATGTAATCAGTCTCCAGAACTGAGTAAAGAAGTTGTAGAACTCGTAAAGAACGTTCTAGCAGCAGACCGCCAAGAGCTTTGGAAAAACTGTGTTGAACATGTTATCAAAGAAGAAGATGAGTATGTAGTATTACCCTCTTTACAACCCATCATAATTCAACCAAATGATGACTCTAGTTCAGAGGATTCAGACTGCCATGATTATTTATAAAGATACTTTAGAATTGAATTGTTTTTTTTCTTTTGTTTTATTTGCAAAAAATGTATTTTCCTTTATGGTTTTTTCTTTGAAATTTCGTTTTCCAGAAAAAGAACAAATGGGGTACAAAAAGGGTTCAGTTCACGTCTGGTACCCTGTTTAAACCAAACGCCCTTACAGGCAGGTACACTTTACTCGCTTTTTTATGTTTTATAATTTAATATTCAGTTGTAGCAAGTTAATGGGCTATGATTTTTTTTTTAAGTCCAAGTAAGATTACAATTAAGTGCATCTGTCTAAATAAGGGCGTATAATAACGTCCAATTTATAATTATTCGATTTCCTTTTAACGAATACTTTCTTGCATATGATATATATTAAAAGTATTAATAAAATAAATTTATAAAATGAGGTAGGTATCTACGCCTATGGCAGATCAAACAAAATTGTCGGTAAAGGTTCCGAACGAGTTTTTATGATCTGCAATTGATAATGGAAGAACTATAACTACTGATTACCAAGCAACTTTTTACTCCCATGGTTTCATGTTTTACATAAACACTATTACGAGGCCACAAAGTAAGACATGCTTGCATCATATATTCTTAAAAAACAATATTAAGAGTGAAAATCTATCGGTGAACTCTTATGTAATCAGCTATGATATGACTGATCATGATCCTATTACGATAAATATCTCACAATTTGCCAAAAACTACACAAGTTCCTACAGTACATATAAAACTATAACTAAAATCGATACTGATAAATTAAAACAAAAATTCGAAACTGTAAACTGGGAAAGTGCAATGAAAATAATCCAGAAATTGCAAAACAACTTTTTTATGACACGTATCTTAATATCATTGAAACATGTCAAACCACTCAAAATATTAAAATTAAAATCCATAAAAAAATAAAGCCATGGATAACAAATGGTTTAATTAATTCCATTAAAACTGGGGATAAACTTAAAAAAGATTTACAAAAAAACTATGCTATTAACAAACAAACTCACTATAAAACATTTAGAAATAATTTAAACAAACTAATATCAAAAAACTAAAAATGACTATTATAACAATAAAATAAACCAAAACAAAAATGATCTGAAAAAAAAAAATAAAAAAATATTACCAATTTACAGATTGTTAACCAACATAATGAGGAATTTGAAAATGATAATGAAATGGCGAATTACTGCAATAACTACTTTTCGACTATTGGCACTAATATGTTCACAAATATCCCTGAATGTAATGTGGATTTTTCTGTGTCAGTGAAAGATATATGTTTCTGAAACCGATATGCGAAAACGATATTATAAAACACATAAATAGTTTAAAAAACAATAGTGCCCCGGGATTTGATTGTATAACAGTAAAACATCTGAAACTATTACATCCATATTTACTGGAACCTTTAATGCGTATAATTAATTGTATTTTTAATACAGGAATCATACCTAAACAATTTAAAACTTAAATTATAACACCTATTTATAAAGCTGGTAATCCAAAATTAATAACTAACTATAGACCTATTACTTTAATTAGTAATGTGGCCAAAATATTTGAGAAATGTGTAAAAGTTAGACTGATAGATTTTTAAAAAACAATGACTTACTTCCCAAGCACCAATATGGCATGAAATGAATACTGGTAACAAGTGTATAGCTATATTTCTAGATCTAGCAAAAGCATTTGACACGGTGCCACATCAGAAGCTCTTAAATGTTCTTGAACAGAATGGAGTGAGGAGCATCGTGTTGGAAGGTTTTTGAAAATTATTTGACACACAGACAACAGAAGGTAAAGGTCAGAGACAATGTGAGTAACCCTGAAAATATACAAATCGGAGTGCCTCAAGGGACTGTTCTGGGACCTATACTATTTAATTTATACATTGAGAGCTTAACTCAGATTGATATTCAAGGTAAAGTTGTATCATATGCTGATGATACAGTACTAGTCTTCAGTGATAAAGATTGGGAAGCTGTTAAGACATGTGCTATAGCTGGAATGGAACATGTCAAACACTGGCTGGATGTTTTTATATTGTCTTTGAATATTAACAAAATAAACTAAATTGCTTTTTTAAAGACAGTGGCTGATCGACCTCAATTTAGAAGCTTAACATGTCAAAATTTACACGTACAGGAAACAAAAACATCCAAATATTTAGGTATAATTATAGACCAGCACTTAAAATGGGATTGCCATATAATATATATAGCAAAAAAACTTAGATTTCTGATTTATAAATTTTATCTTCTATTATACTACAGTCTAGTAGAATCTATACTACGGTATGGAATCTTAGTATGGGGAGGCCTGTGTGGAACTACATTAAATCAGTTAAATGTTATTCAAAACAAAATATTAAAGTTATTATATAAAAGAGATAGATTGTGTCCCAAAATAACTTTATATAATGAAAAGATTAGCAATAGATGTTTATATATTCACGCAGTGTGTTGTTATATACAAAAAAATGAATTTTTAAAAAACCCTTTAGAACATAGACATAACACTGCATCAAACATGTGCATTAAAGTACCAAAACCAAATAGTGAGTTTTTTAAAAACAGTGTAAATTATCTAGGGACAAAGTTCTATAGCGCTCTACCTCTTCATATAAAATGATTAAACAAATATAAAATTTTTTGTAAAGTTAGCAAAATATACATTTTCCAAAATAATACAAAGTTTATCAGAATATTCCAGGAATAACGGACTTAATACATGGATTTTTTTTTAAATAGTTTTTTTTCTGTTTCTTGCATAAATTGTTCAAGTTTTATTTTTTATTTAAAAAAAAAGTTTTTTTCTTTATTTCCTTTATAATGTAATTGGAATAAAATTTTAATTTTTGTCAGCACATACAGGTGTTCTCACCTAGGTGCTTGTTATTATATAATTGGTTTTCATTGTTGTACTTTACTGTAACTTATTATTGTAACTCATTGTAACTTATAACTATTAAACTATTATACTCCAGCTAAGATTAAACTATTCCTTTTCCAACTATAGTTCAAAAAGCGTCAAGTTAATTTCGAAAAGAATTATTTGCATTTCAGATTAGTCAATTTTATTTAAAAAAGTTTCAAATATATTTCAAAATTATCAATGTAATAGCCATAGGCTAAATCTCCCCTATTGCACACTTCATTTTTGTAATCTATATTTGGTGCAAATAAAGACGTTTGTTATTATTATTATTATTATTATTATATAAGCACATATGTGATAATTACCGACGTCTCTGAATTAAATCCAAACTGACACTTAAAAACAAGAAAAATTGTAAGCTCTGACATGCGTGAATTTTCAAGACCTACTTTAAAAAATTTCTTTGTGTAGCGCTGCATATATCATCAAAATCACATTTAATGGTATTTTATTTTTCAAATATAAGTTATTCACCATTTGTGTTAAAAAAACATCTTGTTGTTCAACTATTCTACTATAGAATTTAAGTCGTGCAGTAGAAATCACAGCCATTTTCTTAAAATTCTTGACATCATTCACAACCAAGAAACAATCAGTGTTGAATACTTAACACGTTTATAAACATAACTTTCATAAAAATTTCCAACTCTACCAATTTTATTTCTGGTTTACCAGACAATGCCCATCCTGGGTAAATTGGGATATTCATTAAAACATGCATTTATTCTTAAATCCTATTTAATCATTCATATCACTAACACAATCATTTCAAATAATTGAAATATAAAAAACCCTTAGAATTCAATGAATAAAACTCTTTTGTACATTACAAAAACTGATTTCAAGCAGATTACACAAAAAAAAACTAATTAACGCAGAAATCCTTGTGTATCTAATCCTCCAATTTTTTGTTGAATTATTTTGCCATATCCTCCTCGACCAGAATCATAATCAGTTCTGTATTCATCTCTCACCTACAAAATGACATTAGGAAAACGTCATTAGTATTTCGTGAAGAAATCAAATACTTTGTTGTAGCTTTCTTACTTATTCAAAATACAAATCCATGCTTAATAATAATATAATAATACTCTCCCTAATTCACCCCCTTATGAGTGAATTTCAACCCCTGAAGACAACCGAGCAACTTGTGTAGGGGAAGGGATGGATATTATTATTTGCTGTGGCGCTCCAATTAATTCAGTTTGTAATGCTGTAAACAGTGTATATCACTCACCTGTCCCCCAGTTTTGCCTCTTCCATACTGTCTCCCCTCTAGAAAACCTGCATCCCAATCTGTCCTTACAATTCTGTCATCAAGTCTGGTACCATTTATATATCTACAAAATAAATTTAACACTAAAATAATAGTATTGATGGGTGTTTAAAAAAACATCTTAAGTGACAGTTTTGTTACATTAGTTTTTTCGATCAAACTATCAATTATATAGTCTACACCAGTGAAGACATATCTACCCTAACTTTAAAAACAGCTGATTCGTACGTATCAGCTTTTGGTGTTCTAATAAAATATGGTAGGTATGTTACAACATTAATTGAAAATCTGGGTTTTTATGTAACTTTTTAATATTAGATTTCTATATTAAAAAAAAAAGCTTATACCATACTTTTCAGAAATAAAAGTTTTAAGATAAAATTGTCTCACAAAAATATCATTTCAAGTAAAATTTACTTTTTGTCGCTTACGATGTTTTGTCAAATAACCATCCATATTGCTAATAAGAACATAAAAAATATTACTTGTTCAAAGAAACATAACAATATTTAAACTTATAGTTCTTAACAACTAGGATTTTAAAAAAAGTAATTAGTAAATATGTGCTCTAAAGGCAGAATATTTATATTTTACAGATTTGAAGATACAAGTGGATGAAGGGCCTATGTAACATTTTTTTTAAATGGTGTTTTTTTTAAAATGTTTAACACTCAAAAGTAACTAGTTTCTATAGTAAATTTTTGAAAAAAAATTTATGGATGAAGCAGTATTTTTCGAAAAAAATTGAATTAAAAATCCCAATTTTACAGGTTATAATCACAAAACAATTACTCTAAATGACAGTTTCTGACGTTTCTGTCTTAAAAATAACAAACGTTGCCAAGTTGTTAATAAAATTATAAGTTTAAGGATTATTTAAATTTATAATCATAAATTTTTCGTTTGGTTTAAAAAGATAAGTACGGTAATAATCGTAAATAAAATGCAAAAATTAATATATCAACCAAATTAATTTTAAAAATGCAGCTCAAAAAAACTACATACAAAATTAAAAAGTGAATTTAATTAAATCACTCAACATGTAATACCTAGACAACTTTTTTTTTAAATTTTCTTTCACTCAAAACGAAACAACGACTTCCGCTAGCGTGGCGGCTTCGCCGCCACCAAAAAATTTTAATCCATACCTGGCTACGCCTACCGGCATAGATTCCAACGGCCTGGACACAGCTCAAATTGAAATGAAAAGTCTCACATAACACATTATAATCAAAAATCATACATTTTTCGTTTGGTTCAAAAAGATAAGTACGGTAATAATCGTATATAAAATGAAAAAATTAATATATCAACCAAATTAATTTTAAAAATACAGCTCAAAAAAACTACATACAAAATTAAAAAATTAAATTAATTAAATCACTTAACATGTAATACCTAGACAACTTTTTTTAAATTTTCTGTCACTCAAAACGGAAAAAACGACTTCTCGTAGGGTGGCGGCTGCGCCGCCACCAAAAAATTTTAATCCATACCTGGCTACGCCTACCGGCATAGAGTCCAACGGCCTGGACACAGCTCAAATTGAAATGAAAAGTCTCACATAACACATTATATTTTCACCTATAAATTATTTTCTTCTCATTCAAACAGAAATCTTAAACTTGGAACTTATCAGTGATAAAAATCAACAATATAGTATGGCAACGTTGCAAACTCGAGGACCTTATGTGTCAAGAACTGACAATTTCATGAATCACTTTATTTTAGGTTTTATGGAAGGAAATGATGAAAAGTTAGGTTAAATCAGTCAAAATATTGCATTTTATTATAATATAAATAAAAATAGCAAATGAAACGTATTATTCCATATTTAATTTCAGTTAAAATATTATAAAAAGTAAGTTACTTCAATATATTAATGCTAAAATTATGAAATTCGCACCTCAGGATCCTTTACCAGAACCGTTAGTTACATTAATAATAACGGGACCAAGGCAAAAGAACCTCCTACTCAGTGAAATTCGAGGTGAAATTATTAAGGCTCTAATTTTTATTTAGAAATTACCTTAAACAATTTTCTGCATCCTCTCTATTATAGTATTCTACAAAACAGAATCCACATGGAGTTTTCTTGTATTTATCCAGGCCCATCACAATACGTCTAATATCACCACATTTGGTAAACAGTTCATAAATCTGTTCTTCAGTTGTATAAAAAGATAAATTTCCTACGTATAAAGTTGTTGAAAGTCTTAATAGTTTGTCTTGTTCGGCTCGAGTGCCCTATAAATAAGGAGTTATATAGATTAATGGTTTAGTGAGATTTCTAAATAATAAGCATACCTTAAAATGTTGGTCTCTATAGGAACTTAAATCCACTGAAGGAGATGTAGCCATAGCCATTTTAATGAATGAGAATAATGTTAAAAACTAAAAGACGAAACAAGCGGAATCCGACACAAACATTAAAATAAAACAGCTTCCGAATAAAAGTAGTTCCTGGTATTTTTGTTTTGATAAAAATTTTCTATCGACGCGAATACTAGAAACTAGAAAGCTTGACACATGCTTCGCTGTTGACGTTGACACTTTGACAGTCTTGACGTTGACACTTTGACAGTCTTGACCTTGACACCCAGGTCTTTTCCTTTGCATCGAAAGTGTAGCACTGAGCTACACTACTTCTGAAAATATCGTTCCATTTATACAAATTGTATGGATGGAACAATATTTTCAGAAGTAACGTAACTCAGTGCTACACTTTCGATGCAAAGGAAAAGACCTATTACTACCACAACTTACCAAAGTACCAACTACAAAAAGATATTTTTCGCGGCATAAACCAACAAATGCCCGTTATAAATAAAATTAATAATAATATCTCTTCCCCAACCGTTTCAACTTTAAACTAATACATTTTAGGATAATTTTAGGTTAATTTGTATCTCAATAATCGTCTCCAAACAAAGTGGTTAACTATCTCCTTCGTCCTTCGCTTTTAAAGCCGATGGCACAGACCTGGCCGATGGATGCGTTTTCTTATTTGTGAACTCATCGCTGGAAAAAAGAACTTTTGGTCATATCACTGGATGCCAACAAAGGAACCATACTGTCAACTGCCATTAATGCCCATAAAAAGCAGCTTTCTTTTTGACAAGAAGAACAGCACGGAACTGTTCAGGAGTTGTAAGCTCAAATTTTATAAGCGTTCTTTTTATTTAGGGTTTTAAGCTCCGGAACAGTTCGCTCTTCCTTCCCCTGCCCTCTCTTGCACCAATCAAAACTTGGGTGCAACAAGCACTCGATAAGCTCTTTTAGGTTATGTTATTGTATGCAGATCTACTTAAAGCAAATACACGTGTTTTAAAGTAAAAAAAAAATGGATATGGATTTAGAATTGAATGATTTTGAAAAAAATTTGGTATACACAATTAAAGTTAGCAGGGAAGATCGCGATCGCGCTATAATTGGTTAGTACTATTCCTTTTTTATATTTTATTTATTTTATAGTATTTAAATATTCCAGATAATCAGTTTGCAAACTCCTTATTATTTCACGCACGAATCATGAATAGAATATCTGGAAGCAACGATAAAGGTCCTAGTGAGATAGTATTAAATGAAGCTGGTGGGACTTCTAGTACATCAAATTTTCCAGAGGGACTAGATGATGATGATGAGTCGCTAAATGACATTGAGGCCATTTGTGAAAACGTGTCACGTGAAAGCCTTCCATCCTGCTCGAACACAAAAATAATGAACATTTGGTCATACCAACAAACAACACAATTGATATCCTCTATGGCATCATATTATCCTGACTTTAATGATCCCAGACAACGGAAACACATTTTTGAGCACATTGCCAATGATTTAATTAGTGCTGGTTTTGAGGTAAATGATCAAATGGTGATGAGGAAATGGAAAAGCTTATTACGTTCATATAATAAAGCTAAAGACAATAAAAACCGTACTGGTAGAGGTCCATCAAAGTTTTTATTTTATGAATCCATTGATGAGGTTGTTGGCAATCAACCGAAAAATAAATGTGACCATTCTCTAAATAGTTTAGATGTCACTGTGGAAAATGAAGGCAGTCAATCAGTACCAGAAGAAATAAATGATATCGATGATAATGGTGTTGAAGAGGAACATGGCTGTGAGGAAATAAATAGAACCGTAAATCAAAATGGAGAGAAAAATGCTGTGTCACCAGAAAAAAAGAAAAGGCGCTTAAGTGATAAACAAATTAAAAAGGAATACGTGGAAATGAAAAAAAAAGAATACGAAAAACGTCAAAAAAGGCATGATGATAAAATGAAAATCGAAACAGAAAGAAATGAATTAGAAAGAAGGAAAGTTATGTTATTAGAAAAATATTTAAGTGGAAAAGAATAAGTATTGTTAAGTTTTTTTTTGTGCATTTTTAATAAATGAATTACAAAAACATTTTTATTTAAAATTTTATTTTGGTAATATCAATAATAATAAATACAATAAAACATCAATAATCCGAATTAATTGTGACTGGACCCTGTCCAGATTTTCAAAAGTTCATAACAAAAAAAAACTGTTAATAATTCAAGTTTGTCATTAAATAATTGAGCAGATAAATAAAACCATTAATAAATATGAACTTATGAAGTATTTTAATAAAATAATGTATACATATTTTGTACAATATGTATTTACAGAATATTGTAGTTAATACATTGCCAGAGCTCTTAAAAAAAATATTGATTTTTGAACAGAATATAAAATGTTAAATATGTAAATATACATACTAAAAGGATTCACACTTTTTCAGTCCTCTAGGTAAATATTTTATTAAACACTTGCAATTGTCTGGAATGATTGTCAACATTAATGTGAAATTGTCTTTGAAATAATTCAGATATTGGCTGATTGTAGTCCACTTCTTCTACGTCTTCTAAAGAATTAGCTTCATCCAAACATATGTTGTGTAGGATACATGATGCTAAAATTAGTTTAGAACATAATTCTAAATCTAGATTCTCCAAGTCCCGAAGTCTCCGAAACCGCCCTTTTAGCAAACCATATGCATTTTCAACAATAACTCTTTTAGATGATAATCTTTTGTTAAATTGTAATTGTTGCTGTGATAAAAATCCTGTATTTTTAAAAGGAGTAACTATCCAATGTAAATTAGGGTAAGCTGAGTCAGCCAGAAGAAAATTATCTCCAATAAATTCAGGGTTTTGTAAAATCTTTGCATATAATCCAGATCTTCTAAATAATCGGGCATCATGAAGTGAACCTGGTTCTCCACAAAATACATCTATGAACCTCTTTTCATGGTCTACAACAGCCTGCAATAATATACTATGATACCCCTTCCTGTTTATGTATGAATCCTGGTTTTCTCTTGGTTTTAGAATTTCAATATGACTTCCATCTATGGCACCCATTGCTCCAGGAATTCCATTATTTTGTTTGAATGCATTTGTAATGACCTGCTTTCTTTGTAAATTTGGCCATTTTATTATTTCGTTTTTTAATGAGCATATAAAATTTATGACACGTGTCAGACAGTTATGAGCTGAGCTAACTGTTACTCCAAACCTATCAGCAACTTCTCTAAATGAATTTCTATTTGCCAAATACCAAACTGTTAGGAGAAATGATTTTTCAGATGATATATTTGGTCGACCTGATGGATATTTTGGAATGAAGTTAGATTCTTCAAAACGACCTTTAATAAAAAATAATAAATTTAACCCTTAATAAATTAAATATCTGATTTATATACATACCTATTAGCTCGTAAGCAGTTGTTTTGGACATCCGAAAATGCGATTTAAACTGTTTGCTATCATATGCAGTTACAACATTTTCAACGAAATTTTCATTTTTGGGATGTACCCTTCTCTCAACATCTTCATTTGATGAAAAGCTGCTCAAAGAACTTGTAGATTCAGAGCTACTGAACGATAAGTTAGCTGTTTCCAATAAAGGCTAAAACAATTTGTAAAATGAGCATTACATATAGGTGAACAAAATGTACTTTTATATAAATTACCTTTATAATACACTCATATTCTAAATCAGCCATAATGAACTAATAATAATGTATCTATACAATAACTAAAAAATAAAACAATACACGAAAACATACAACCCACAGAAAAATAAAAAGACAACTAAAACAAACATAACCTGTCTTAAACATTGACAGTGCATGACAGTTCAAGATTTTTTGTGTATCCTAAAAATGCGTTCTTTTTGGTGCTTCTCAAGAACACTTTACGGCGGTACAGATCAAGTGCTTGTGACATCAAAAAGAATATCCCAAAAATAACACAGTGGTAATTGAAATTATTATAGCATAATTTTGAAAATGAAAGCAATTTAATTATTTAAGGACCGATTCCACCGTTGTGTTAAACGAACTTTATAATGACATTTTTACATTATCAATGTCATTTTAATCTCAGTTTAACACAACAGTGTAATCGGGCCTAACATAGAACATATAGGGTGCTATGATTGAACGTTTACGTTATCCGTAACGTACATGTTAGGCCGAGCTTTAACAGTAATGAGGCAAGTTCGTATGATGGAAAACTTTTTCCAACACGTTACTGTTATTTTCCGCCTGTTATCTTCTAATTTAACAGCTTTCCATCATCCGAACTTGCCTCGTTACTTTTAAAATTCGGCCTAACATGTACGTTACGGATAACGTAAACGTTCAATCATAGGACCCATTGGCCGTGTTCATCGTCGTCAAACATGTTTTAAAAGCAAAGAAACATGTTTCATAAGCGGTTGGAATGACGCTGAACGATCATTTTTGTTTACGATTTGTTTTCTCAACCTCAAATCTGTCAAAAAATGGAATGACATTTGGTTGGCACAAAGAAGGTTATGTGAATTGTTTACTTTAGTATTTTTTTAAAAAATTTGAGTTGAATTGATTATTTGTACAGTGAATTAGAGTTTATATAAGTACCCTTCTGAAAGTGGTTTTGACAATTTTACGGCGAAAAACCTACAACTTGTATTATTTTGGGTTGTAAAGTCATGATGTTTTTATTGCCTCTATGGATCTTGAATTCTACATACTTAGACTAATCAAAGAAATTGTAATAGTCATTTTATTACAGGTAAAATACATTTTTTTGACACACAAATAAAAACATACTGTAACTAGATCATACTTTGAAGAGCAGAATGAGAATGCTATTTATTGTGTATTGTGTTTAATCAACTGTCTGGTCTGCACCAATAAATTAAAGTAAACGAAATCATGATACTAATAACATACATCTCAAAAAGTGATCTTTTTACATATATCAAGGATACATAAAAGTGTATAATAATAGAGACATCAAGTATGACTTTCTTATTTTTAGGGAAACAGAGTTCCTTCGAAGTTAGTAATCATTTAAACTGGACTCTAGCCCAGAACTTGAGGCATGTGTCTCAAACCAGTTCAAAACTAACTGAATCGAAAAAGGAGGAAGAGATAAAAATGAAAATCAACCTGAAGTAAACTTTTATTTTTGAGTCATACCTAACATCATAAGTCCCGCTTTAGGCAAGACAAACCCACTTTCAAGAATGCAAAAATGTCCCGCTTTAAAAGAAAACGTGATCTGATTCAAAACATTTTTCAAAAAAGAGTGGTATCTCGTATAAATATGTGCTAGTGAAAAAACTTACATAATTTGAAGTATCAGTATTGAAAGCCAAGCATAACATAAACAAGTCACGTCAACAGTTCCACTCCCATTTAAAAACTAAAATATAGAAAGTCAGCCCACTAAACAAGTTTTATTTCGCTTTTCTAATTTTTAATAAATAAACATAAAATTCTGTTATTTCACTTATTTTTAATACATTTTTTTATTATATTATTGTTTTACTTTTACTACAATCTTACTGTTGTTATTCTACATTAAAAATAATGAAAAATTGCTGTTATGCCTTTTAAAATTTACAGGCTTCTTGCTGTGAGGTAAGAAATGATAACGTTTTATTACAAAAACCGAAAATTGTTAAAATAATCCCTATCTAATGCTTTACTTATTTTTTTACAAAGTATTTTTTATGTAGGTACTTAGGTCTTATACATTTTTGGTCATTGCTAATATTCATTGAGTCTGAATTATTTTTATGTATTAATAAAATTTGTATAGTATTATAGAGTTATACATACCTTGTCGACAAACTATACATACAGTGATTCTTTTATAGTAATGATATATTTTGTATTGGAAATTAATAAATATACAAATTTAATGTTGTCATATAGATAGAGCGACTTATTAGCAAAAATTATTTGAAATGTATACAGTAATGAGGTATTTTTTTATAGGTTCAACAAACCAAGGTGGGCCCTTTTTAATATAATTGCTTATATTTAATTTATTTTGTAAATAAAATGTCATACTTTTATTATTATTATTATTTATTTTTTAATGCCCTATATACATTACATGACAACAAAAAACATCGGTGCAGTTTTAATAACAAAACTCGTCTGTTTTGAATAAATCTGTGCTAAAACTATATAATATGTAGGTATGTTATATTATCCATATTCCTTACTGGTGGAATCCCATTAACGTCCAAATGAAATAATTTAAGCATACGTGTATGTATCTACGTCTGGAATTAATTTTATTTTTTTCAAACAGGTACCTCCATAAATACAATATTATATTAAAATACAACTTAACTAATCAACTCTATTAGGGTATAAAACCTTAAAAATATAAATAAATAAACAAACACATAACCTAACAAAATGCCAAAAGACGGATTTGACAGGGGTTCAAGGTCAATTTTATGCTTTTAGAGCAAACAAGCAAGTTTATTTTCGCTTTTATGCTTCTTCAAAAGCGCTTCAGCGGTTGACAGTTCATCGTCACCGCTTACTCAGCGTTACAACATGTTTGACGACGATGAACACGGCCATTATATGGACAGTAAGGTAATATCGTTTATATGTTTCTCTATCGATTTCATTTTTTTTTTTTTTCAGGAAAATATTTATTTGTGATCGATTTGAAGAATTTTAACCCAGCCTACTCAAATCCTGGTTCTTGAAGTGGATATAATTTAATTAATTGAGAGTCGATTCCACCACTATGTTAAACGGAGATTAATATGACATTGTAATGTAAAAATATCATTTTAAACTTCGTTTAACACAACGGTGGAATCGGTCCTAACACATTGAAAGCATATAAACGATAAGTTGATGACCTTAACTCCATGGACCTTCCTTAACCTGTGAACGCACTAAGGGCCGATTCTACCGTTGTGTTAAACGAAGTTTAAAATTACATTTTTTACATTAACAATGTCATTTTAATCTCCGTTTAACACAACGGTGAAATCGGCCCTAACCGAAGTTTAAAATCACATTT